GGGCCTGAGCCGCGCAGCGCCATGGCGAGCGGGGCCGCCGAGGCGGCAAGGTGCAGCGCCTGGCGCCGGGCCGAAGCCGCGCAGTGCCGGGCGCTGCCGCCATGGGAGGGGGGGGGGGCGAGCGGGGGGGGAAGAAGAGAGCAGGACGGGGAAGGGCCGGCGCTCGCCGCCAGCCGTCGAGGTGCCAACCCGCGCCATCGGTGCTCGCGTGGGAAGTGCTGGGCACCCAGTGGGTTCAGGTGGGACACACGGTCCCAATGCACGTTAAAGACAGGAGGGGGGGTGGGGGGAAGGCAACGCAGTCGGGGGCCAGGTGGGCCAGTAGGCAGACGCCGCTGGTGGACCGTGCACGCGCCAAGTGCACCGCTACTGCGCCCGTCAGGTTGCGCGCGCCTGCACCGCGCGCGCGACGGGGGCGCCCGTGGGCTGCCAGGCCCCTGGATCAGCCTTCCAGCCAAGGCTGCGGGGGAACAGGTGGGGGGGGACAGGAGGACACACGGTCCCAAGCCAGGTGGCGATGGGAGGGGGATAGGGAACAGGTGGCGGGCGCGGCAAGCGGTGGGTTGGACAAGGACCTCGCCGTAAATCGTTGGGAGAGGAGGTAGTCGGTCGCGGCGCGCTGCGCCTGGCAGGGGGGGCCGGCTGCAGGCTGGTCAGCGCCTGGTGCTCTTCCCGGTCCAGTTGTCGTTGCACCCGGAGCTGCTCGCCTGGTCCTCCCCGCGCCGTCCACCTTTGGCAGCCTCTCTTTTCTTCTGGACATCCTGGTACAGGGCCTTTTCCCGGTCCCAGTCCACGTAGACGCCGGCGCACCGAGACCGCGTATCTATGCGGTGGTTGCAGCTGTCCATATCCTCCAGAAATTGGTCGATTATCTTGGGCTGCCAGCAGTTCGGGTCGAACGCGACCTGGTCCTTGGATTTGCCTTGGCCCTGCTCCTTACACATATGCCTGCACCGCGAGTGCCAGGCTGCGGTGAAGTGGTATCCTCCCTCAGCCAGCAGCCTCTTCAGGTATGCGACTGCTGTCTCGCATGAGCGGCGTGGCCAGCTGGCGCGACGGATTGTCCGTGGACGGCTGGGGTCAGGGTAACGGCGGTCGTCCCTGTGGTGAGAGCTGCGCTGACCTTCTGGCTGGCGCCAGGGGGTCCACCCTGTGCCCCTGCCAGAGTCGCGGTCCTGGTCCCAGTTGCGCCCCCTGGCTCTGTCCCAGTCGTTGGTGTCTTGCTTGCGCCACGGGGCCCCCTCTACACCTTTGTTGCGGTCGCGGTCTCGGTCGCGGTCGTGCTCTTCGGCGCGGGCCCGGTCGCTGGTTTCTCTGGACGAGCGCCTCGCCGCAGTCTCGTACGATTCCCAAGGAACTGGATCCCGCGCCCTGCCGCGCAAGCGCTCTACCTCATGTGCAGGGAGGGGGTTGAGTGCGGGGCGCCTGTCTTCTGGGGCTTTGGATCTGGGCCGCGCGTGCAGGGCGCGGCCGTCGGCGGCGGCCGTCATAAACACGGTCGGTTCCGTGGGTGCGCAGGCTGGCTGGGTCTGGTACGTACTGCTTGAGTCGCGCTCGGGACTGCTGCGACGCTCGTCACGAGGGCTCAACTTGGCTTGGCCACCCTCGACCGCGTCGGGGTCTGAGGAGGGAGAGACCGTGTGGACCGTGCTTAAGGCCTCCGCGAGCCTCTGCTTCCTCTCTTGTTCCTGGTCGTCGCTGGTCCAGTCAGTGTCCTCCTCCTTAGGGTGCACGAAGGGTGCCGGCTCGTAGGTGGGGTCTTGTGCGTCCGTGCGCGGCGCGCAAGGTTCAGGCTTGGAGTCGGGCTGAGCCCCTTCTGCGGACGTCGCGCTGGCGCCCCCGATGTCGGCGCCGAGCCAGGAGCTGGCTGGGGCCGCTGCTGACTGCGCTCCGCGCGCCTCGTCGGATGTCCTGCCCAGGAAGGCGGCTGCTTGGGTCGCCGCGTCGCCGCGGAGGACGTTCCCGCGCGGCGCCCAGGTACCAGCGCCCCAGACTTCAAGCCACTCGTCATCGATTTGGACGATAAGGGTTCGCCCGTTTTGTTCGCGGGCCAAGACGTCCAGGACGGGCCCGAGCACCGCTCCGCCCAGGTTGCGTGGACAGGGGCTCGGTGCTGTCCGCTGAACTGAACCACCTGGCACGGGGGAGGGCGTCGCCCCTGATGACCACGTAGTCGCCGCTCGGGATGCACGGGCTGTCCGTTGCTATCGGGCAGAAGGAGCCCTGGATGGGCGAGTCTGGCACTCGCCCTTGCTGCCGCTCGAGGCGGCTGGGCCCCTCGCTCTCGGGGAGGGGATCAGAAGCAGCGCCGACGGCTGGTGGCGCCCAAACGGACTTGGCAGCCGCGGGTCGCGTGGCGGGAGGGGCCGGGGCCGGCTCGTCGCCGCGCGGAGTGGGCGGGAGTGAGTCGCGGGTCGTCAGGCGCCTTTCCTTGGCGGGTCTTGGGCTGTCTGCCTGGTTGGAGGTGTAGTCAGGACGCCCGCCCGCTCGGGGGAAAGTGTGCTGCTGGGGCTCGCTGCTGGACGTGTGTCCGGCTGTTGGCTGAGCTGAAGCGGTGGCTGGGGGTCTGTGTGCCTGGCCCCTCCGATGCGTGCCTCTCCCTGGCCGCCAGCTGTCGCCCCCGGGCTGGGCGTTGCTGCCTATCCTTGGGAGGCGGCGGGGGTGGGTTGCGGAGGCGCTCCTGGTAGGCGCGCGCTTCCTCGCCCCAGGCGGCGGCGCGCCGCTGCACTTCCATCTGGTTGGAGCGCATTGCGACCCCTGTCGAGGCGGCGGGGACGCCTGGTAGCGCAGCGAGGGGTCCGGCTCCTGCGCTAGGGTATACGTCAGGGCCGCACCTGTCGAGCACGCGTTTCACTGCTGACGGGGCCGTGCCCCATTGGTGGATCAGGCACTCCTCGCAGTACCAGCCTGCGTGCCTGCGCTTGGTCAGGAACGTCTCCCTCATTAGCTGTATGGGTGGGGGCCCGTGGACCAGGCTAAAGCTGGTGCGGAGACCTTCTGGGTCAGCGGCGTGTCCGTACTTGCCAGGGAATGGCTGTCCTGGTCCACGTGTCCCTCTGTGCCTGGGGGGCAGCCGTCGCGTCGCCAGATGCCGAGATCCTTATTGTAGAAGTGGGAGATCAGGCGATCGTCGTTTGTGTCACTGGCTGGGAGTGTGGTTCCGACGTTGAGCGGATTCAGCTCGCCTTCCAGCGGGACCAGCAGCTGCTCCAGGGGTGTGAAGGCCGTAGATGCCGACGTCGGGCATAGTCCCGGCAGGGCGCGCGTTGTGCGCGCTGGCATGTCGTCGGGGCGGTCGTTGATCCAGTCCTTGAAGTCCACGTCGTCTGGAATGGGCCGGCGCTCCTCCATGGCCTTCGCGGTCCCGCAGCAGATGCACAGCCAAGTGAAGGCCCCTCCATGGTAGTACGCCGTTAGCCTGTTGACCGCAATGGTTTGGCGGATCCGCTTGCCGACGCACGCCCCGCTGTCGCGCTTGAAAGGGGCCGCGGAGGCAGCCTTGGCAGTGGAACTCGGCCTTGTTCTGTTCCTTCGTCCACCTGGTGTCCCGGTCGTCTATTCACGGGGGCCTTGGCGTCACTCCAGGGCGCGGCCCGAGCGGGGCGGGCGCGTCCAGGTGCAGGCGCGAAGATGAGTATCCTGAGCCTATCCAGGTGGCGCTGCTCGCCTGCTTTGTTGGGTCGTCGGTGAGGCCGATGCCGGACCCGAGGACGTCGACGTAGAGTGCACATGCAGCGCGCTCGTGGTTCGCCAGAGCCGACAGGTCGGCGGGAGACACGGTGCCTTCGATGACTGCGAGGGTGGCCTGGAGTGGGAACTTTCTAGCCTCGAGGCCCCTCCAGGTTGCGGGGCAATTCGCGCGCCTGGCCAGGGGGTGGCGGTGGGCAATCATGACCAGGCGGGACACTGCAGTGATCAGGAGCTCCAGCGCCGAGTGCAGCTGCCTGAAGTGCCGCCCCTGTAGTCCGAACGGTGCGCCTAGCTGGTCACGAGCAGTCTTGTCGCGCGGGCGGTACGGCTCGCACAGGCCGGGGATGGCCTCGATCACGTCGCCGATGCCCTCGGCGCCCCCGCACGGGCGCAGGCAGGCGCGCGGTTCGCGTTGCATGAGCAAGGAGCAAGCTCACCAAGCGATCTGATCGTGGCGATGAGCAGGCGCGCGGTTCGCGTTGGTGGGAGGCCGCGCAGAAGTCGCACATCGTGTCTGCTTCCCCGCCCTGAAAGGTCCGCACGGGCATTTCGGCATGTGTCTCCCCCGTCTGTCCAATGGCGCGCCGCAGACCGTGCCATCTTGCTTGCGGAGGTGACACTGGCCTCCAGGGGCACAGAAGTCGCAGCGCAGGCGGTCTGCGAAGGCCATGTGGAAGTGGCCGTGGGGGATTTTCGCCGAGGCCCCCCCTTCCCTGACAGGGGGGTCGAGCCACCCTCCCGCGCCGGGCCCTGCAGCAGAGTGCAGGTCCACGCAGTCGCCCTCCACCAGCGTCTGGAGCAGGTCGTCGCGGGCCCGCTTCTGCAGCAGCCCGGTCCAGTGCCCCTGCCAGCCAGTGAATGATTCGTCTGGGCAGCTGGCCCAGTTCGCCGCGTCGATGCCCCCGTTTCCCTGCGTTCGCAGTCTTGCCTCCGCGCGCCCACTTGCGTCGGCCACCGCCAGGCACCGTATAGTGAAGCTTTGTCAATTGAGGCCGCGCCCAAACAAACCCGCGCGCTCTTCAAGGTCAGGGCCCAGCTTCCTGGCCGCAGCCGTTTCCGCCGCCGAGGTTAGGCCGATTCCCCCGTGCGTGAGCTGCAAGAAGCATTGTCATTGTGTTTCCTAGTCAGCGCGCAGGGGGGACTCGAGTAAGTCTTCTACGCCTTTGACGATGGCTTCGTCCGTTCAGGTGGTCCAGCCACCGTCTTCGTAGTTAGCCTCAAGAGATGAGTGACGCACCCGTTGCAGTATGTCTGACAGCGGGAGGAAGCTTTCGCGCGCACCCAGGCCAGCCGACCGAAGGTCGCGGAGCCTCGCCACCAGCCGGCAAGCTGCCTGCACAGCCTCGTTGCCGTCCGCCTGACCGTGCAGAGCGAGGCGCGGGAGAGCAGGATCCTGGCGTGGATGGCCCCCATCAGGGGGACGTAAGACCTGGGTACAGGGGACTCGGAAATCCCCGACGAGATCGTCAAACAAATGGCGAGGTCGAGCCTGCATTTTGACGAGGCCTCCCGCTGCAGACATCCCACGAAACTCCTCCTCGTCAAAATCCGAGGCGCGGTCGTCAAAAAACGATGGCGAACCCGAGTCCTGGCAAACCCAGGTCTTACGCTCCCCCGATCCCAAGGTCGCGCCGGTGCTGTCCAGGAGGCTGCCGAGGACTGCGGCCGGGCGTCCTTCGAGTCCATGTCGCAGAAGGCCTGAAACACCGGCGGTGCGGGTGGCCCCTTGTGCTTCTGGCACTTGCAGGTGGGCGGCTGCCGGCATTTGGGGTCTGCGCCTGGGGGCGTTAGCGGGAAAGCAGGCCTCCTTAACGTGCCGCGCTGCCGGCATGTTCGGTCAGCCCCTTCTGGGTGGGATCAGGTTGGGGTCGACTGCGCGGGCGTTATCGTTACTCGAGACTCCGAGCCCTATAGCCCATATGTTAGTCGCAAGGGCCGCCGCGTACACCAGGCTGCCGGCGTCCAGTCCTACCAGCGTCGAGCAGACAAAGAGGTACCCGTTCATGCCCCATCCCTTCCTGTCATGCAGGCCGGGGTCCGCGGGCTGATCCGTGACGCCGTGCTGGCGCGGATGTAGTCCGAGGCACCATAGAATGCAGGGCCCGAATGAGGGGCAGCATAGTAGTCGCACCACTGCAGTGTTGACGTCGTCCTCCAGGTCCTTCCAGCCGCGGTTGGCCGGGAGCGGCAGGTCGACGCGCGCCGAGAAGCCAGCCCGCTGAGCCTGACGGGCCTTGATTACTTCCTTCCCCTTTCGTCTGCGGTCGGCTTCCGCCAGCGGCCGGGCCATCTCTCCTGGGTTGGCAGCGTCGGGGATGTCGTCCTTGAAGACGCTTGCATCAGCTCTGGACTGGCGCAGGCATCCGCCCAGGTCGTGGTGGAACTCGAAGGCGAGGCCCGCCTTCTGGGCCCAGGTGCTCAGGTAATGGAGTGCAGCGTCTGTGGCCGTGCGGAACATCCTTGCGTCAGCGGTCATGATGAGGTTGCATTGTGGGCGCGTCGGCCCCGCGTTGATGCGGCGTCGGTCGTCCACGTGGCCCCAACTGTGCATGGACGTGGCACGGGTGGTCATCAGTATGACAACGGACGCCTCTCGTCCCTGGGCGGCGTCGATGGCGGTGACACGGATCGTCTCGCTTTCCAGGAGGCCTGGGAACAGGTCTGCGAGTCCGCTGAAGCGTTCGCTCAGGCCGTTGGCTGTCGTAGCGCGATTAATCCATGTCCCTCCCGTGAGCCCCTTGCTGGCCTGACAGGGTCTGGAGCTGCCCCGGCCCCGGTGGCGCTGGGAGCCGGGGGCGCCCGCGTTCACCTCGGATCCGTCCACTTGCGCCGCCCGCGAGCAGCGTCTGATGTCGCGCGCCGAGCAGGGGTTGCCTGCTAGTACGGGGGTCAGCTGAAGCTTGCGCGGCGACAGTACGAGGATAATGCCGTTGGTCCTTCGTGCCCATGGTTCGAGGGCCTTCACCAGGGCAACCACTGCGCGCTTCGTGAATGTTGGCGTAGCCGTCCTGAATCGAGGACTGGGCCTCTTGCGAGGGGGCGTGTGCAAGTGTGAAGCGATGCTGGTCGTAGGCGGTGCCACCGTTTCCTGTCGGGGCTGTACAAGCTGCCTTGCTCCTGAATCCGCCTACGGTGTCGATCAGGGAGTCGTCGCGCCCGTGCCTGCCGTCCTCGTTTCTTGCTGCTTCGTAATCTTGGTCGGACAAAGGTAGTGCGAGCGGCCGCTCCAGTCCTCCGGCGCATGGTCGCTGCCGCACGGGGTCCAGGATGGCTGAGACTAGCCTGCCCCCGTAGAACGTGAGCGAGGGCCGTGCGAGCAGGCGCGGATGGATCCGATTGCACTCCTCCAAAGTGACGCTGCAATCGGGGATGTCCCCTATGGCTGTCACGTACTTGGCGAGAATGGAAACGCCTGGACCCCAGCGCAGTGCCTGTGGGGATGTGACCGTCGGGCGCAGCTGCCGCTCGTCGCCGAAGAGGACAGTTCTGGCCCCGCATCTGACAGCGTGGATCAGGGACATGATGGCCATGGGTTCGAACGTCTGTCCAGCTTTGTCCAGGAGACAGATGAGGGACTTCTTGTCCCAGAGGTCGGGCCCCGCCTCGCGCGTGGCCAAGATGAGCTTTGCTTCAGTCGCGACCTCCGCTCGGAACTTGTGGAACCAGTTCGCGTGTCCCGTGGTGACCTCGCCCACCGCTATGTTGTGCATTTTGGCGTACTCGGCGATAGGGGTGATCTTCTTGGCTACGCTGCCCTTTACTTTGTCCTCGTGTGCGAGGCGCGCGGCCAAGCGAGGGAACAGGTCGTTGCTGGCTGGGTTCAGATTCTTCCCGCTTTGCTCTGCCAAGGTGCCCATGGATCCGCCGGTGCAGCCGAGGCACCCTACGCCCCACCCTGGGGCGAGGCACGACATGTAGGCGTCCGCCAGGCAGGCCGCGACCTTGGTCTCCCCGGTTCCGGGCGGCCCGTGACATAGGGTAAGGAGGGAATTCTGGGTCGCAAGCACGCAGCGCCGCTGGGCGGTGTTGGCGTGGCGCAGGTAGCAGGTGCGCTCCAGGTGCTCCTCCTTTGGGGAGGGCAGCAGTCGTTGGAAGACAATGCCAGGGGAGTCCTCCGCCTGCTGGGCCGCACGTTGGTCGGCGCCGGGTTGGTCGGGGTCGTCGATAGTGCGTTCCAGCGTCTCCGAGGCCTGCGCGAGCAGCAGATCCGCCGCTGCGCCTTGCGCCGGCACGGCCAGGGCTCTGGCCTTGTTGTCGCAGTCCTCGTGCCGGAAGACGAGCGCCCAGGCGATGGGCGGGAGGGCAGTGCCCCGAAGGGCCGCCCTATCGCACCCAGCTGAAAAGAATTCACGTATCGTTGCGTTGACCTTGTTGAATTGGGCCTTTCTCGTGGCGCGGTCGACCCTGTAGTAGTGTTGGCCTGGGGTTGGCCTTTGAACTGTGTCGTCGTTGTCGTGAAAGGGACCGTTCCTCTTGGCGTCGTAGTGGACCAACGCTATGCCCGCAGGGCAGCGCCGGTCGCTGCCCGAGACCCTGGCGCCGGGGGCGGGAGGCCAGACGGGGGTCATCTCTGCCAAGAAGTCCACCGTTGGCGAGGACTTGGAGATTAGGAAGGGGTTCGGGGTGCCAGCCGTCATGTCGCGCTCTGTCCACTCCATGGCCCACCTCGCGTCCCAGACTAGCAGGTAGCATTCGCTCTGCCCCGGTCGTTGTCCTTTGAGCCGATCTTGCAACTGATACTTACGCAGGATCTCTCGGCACTGCTCGCTCGGCTGGGAACAGGTAAGGATCTGCACGTCTAGGGCGCAGGTAGTCTTGCTAGCAATGATTTGCCGGGACGTGGTGGAACCGTCGTCGGGGGGCTCCACGTCCGCGTAAAACTCGGTGAAGAAGACCCTCTTCAGCTCCTTGCCACATATCTGCAGCCGTCGAATCCAGTCGGTCTGTAGCGGGACTGCTCCAGGGACTGGTCCTAGGCAGGGGCGCGCCGCCGTGCCCTTTGGGACCATGTACCAGGGGGCGCTGTAGAGGTCCCTCTTGGAGCCCTATTGGGCTCCTGGTTGGCCCTAATAGGGCCCCAAGAAGGCCCCAGGAATTATGTACCAACCCAGCGGCCGCTGGTACATAACTCCTGGGGCCCTTGGGGCCCTCTGAAGAGGGCCAGAGCCCTCTTGTGCCCCTGGTTGGCCCTTAGACGGCCCCAAGACGGTCCCAGCGGCCGCTGGTACACCTGGGGCCCTCTTGGGGCCTTCTGAAGGCCCTCTTGGAGCCCTCTTGGGCCCCGGGTTGGCCCTACGAGGGCCCCAAGAGGGCCCCAGGAATTGTGTACCAACCCGGCGGCCGCTGGTACACAACTCCTGAACCCTCTTGGGGCCCTCTTGGGCCCCTTGTTGGCCCATATGATGGCTCCAAGAGGGCCCTAAGAGGACCCCAAGACGGGCCCAAGAGGAGCCCAAGAGAGGCCTCAGAAACCGCTAGTAGGTGTCATCGAACAGCGCGTCTGGATGAGACCTCTCAGTGGTCTCTGGGGCGCGTCTTGGAGCCCTCTTGGGGCCCTCTGGAGCCCCCTGGGTGCTCCCAACAAGGTTCCACGGGACATCCGAGGGGGTGGAAGGGGGAGGTGGAGGGGGAGGTGGAGGGGGAGTTGGAGGGGGAATGGAGGGGGAGGTGGAGGGGGGGCGCAGGGGGGTGGTGGAGGGGGGGTGGGGGGTGTGGTGGAGGGGGGAGGGAAAGGGAGAGGGGTTTGATTAGGAAACTGGAAGAGGTTTGACGACCACGAAGACGACGACGACGACCACGATGACGAGTGAGCGCCTTGGAATTTTCGTGGGCCGTCTTGGAGGCGCCTTGGGGGCCTCTTGGACCGTCTGGCGGCCGTCATGGGGCCGTCTTGGAGGTCTCTTGGGCGCTCTTGGGGCCATCTTGGGGGTCTCTTCGGCGGCATTGGGCCGTCGGCAAGCCGAAAACGTCAAAATCCGTCAAGAGCCCACGGGAAATCAGCTGTCTTTGCCTCTTCGGACCTTCCTGCTGGTCCCCTTGGAGGCTTCTTGGACCGCATTAAAAGCCTCTTGGGGGCCTTTGGGGCCGTCCTGGGCCATCTTGGGGCCATCTTGGAACGCCTCGGGTGCATCTTGGGCCGTCTTGGAGACAGATTGGGGCCGTCTTGGGCTGTCTTGGGGCAATCATAGCCGCCTTGGGGGCATCTTGGTGGCCATCTTGGGCCATTTGGGCCGTCTTGGTGGCGATGTGGGCCACGCGTTCTGGTCCTTCCGAGGGGCAGGCGGTCTGGGCCAAAAGCCACTGGGAAGGGTTTGGAAATAACGAGAGCAGCACAATGTCTGGCACGCCGTTCACCCCTGTGGCAAGCACAGGGGGCGGCGGATCCAAAACGCCTACGGCGAATCACCGCCGCCCCCAGCCTTTTTGACAAGCGCCTATGCGGCCAAACGTTGGGCCCCAGCTTGGCCAAGCTATCTGATTATGTATTCCCCCAGCCGCTCCAGAAACTCTTCGGGGAACACTTGGAGGAGGCTGAAGGGGAGGATCAGGAGAGGGAGGAGGAGGAGGAAGAGGAGGAGGAGGAGGAGGAGAAGGAGGAGGGGGAGGAGGAGGAGGAGGAGGAGGAGGAGGGAGGCCTCTTGGAGCCTCTTGGGGCACTCATGTGGGGCCTCCTGGGAGCTTCCAGGGGGGCCTCTTGGAAGTCGCTCGGGGGCCTCCTTAGGCCTCTTGGGGGCGTCGGAGGCGTTTTGGGGGCCTCTCCTTGGTTTGAAGCGTTTCTGGCCCGTCTGACGGGTCTGACGCCGTCTGGGGGGCATCTCTGAAACGATGTGGGGTCCTCTTGAGGCGCTTCAAGGCCGTCTTGGGGGCCATCTTGGTCGTCTTAGAAGCCTTTTGGGGGGGGGAGGGGGAGGAGGAGGAGGAGGAGGAGGAGGAGGAGGAGGAGGAGGAGGAGGAGGAGGAGGAGGAGGAGGAAGAGGAGGAAGAGGAGGAGGAGGAGGAGGAGGAAGAGGAGGAGGAGGAAGAGGAGGAGGGGGAATGGGGAGGATGAGCAGGAGGAGGAGGAGGGGAGGAGGAGGAGGAGGAGGAGGAGGAGGAGGGGGAGGAGGAGGAGGAGGAGGAGGAGGAGGAGGAGGAGGAGGAGGAGGAGGAGGAGGAGGAGGAGGTCGAGAAGGAGGAGGAAGAGGAAGATGAGGAGGAGGAGGAGGAGGAGGAGGAGGACGAGGAGGAGGTCGAGGAGGAAAAAGGGGGAGGATGCGGAGGAAGAGGAGGATGAGGAAGAAAAGGGATGGGAAAAGCAGGCGAAGAGGGAGTAGGAAGAGAAGCAGGGAGGACCAGGAGAAGGAGGCAGGGGGCAGGAGCGAGGAGGCACACTCGGACAACGAGAGACAAAATCGGAGCAACCCCCAACCCCCAGAGCCTGGGGGCGCCCCAGAATCTGAACAGCACAGTTTCAGCTAGTGCAAATATTTGACCTCCAAGCTCTATGGCATATGCATCTTGCAAGTGCAAGTGTCGATATATCTTGATCATCGTCATTCCCACGTTAAAGTCTACGCCGTCGTGGTAGGTAATCAGATCTCTGAAACGAGCAGGCACCAGTAATGCGATCATCACTTATAGGTTCCTGTGCGAGTTAATCTCACTGTACATGTTACCATTTCATATGGGCACGTAGCTTCTCAAGTATGCTGGCGCTACCACAAACTGTCGTTTTGCGCGCGCGTCTGTGCCCGAGCCTGCTTTTGAGTAACTTGGGCTCCAGAATTCCACGTTGTAGCATGCATAAAACGTCATCATTTTGCGCGCTGACCCCGCTAATCATGCCATAATTTCCACTGCGTTGTTTTGAACTGCGCCGAGTCCTTTCACCCCTGTGTCGTCTCATCTTTCGCGCTTCCCCAATGGGGGCCCCCTAAAATACTACTAGACCGTATCTGTCATCCCACACCTTTGCGAATTCGTCAAAAGGCAAAACTTCCTGCCACTGAACACAGAGACATTGTAGAAAAGGCCCTGCCGCGCCTGCGTCGCACGACACTGTCACATTCTGATTAGTGACATCATACAACTTCTGTGCTTGTTCCGACCATGGTACCGTTGGGTCCAACTCCCTTGCTGCGTTCACTGCTACTGGTCCAACTATGCTGGTTGGTTTCGGCTGCTGTTCCAAAACTGTCGATATGAGTCTCTCATATGGAGACGTAATTCCGGAAAAGGCTCTTGCTCACTGAACTCGGTGAAATCACTAGTTTGCGTTCCACAATCTCTCTTGTTCTTGCGTTTCTAGGCTCTGCCTAGAAAGGTTCTTACTCTCTGGGCTGAAAAGGGCCGGGCACTGGAAAACGCCCCGGGCGGTTCCCCCAGTATCCGCCCCGCGGTTCCCCCAGCTACGTCCCCTTAGCTAAGCGTTGCTTACCTCATCTTAGTTTAGCTTATTTCACCTTAGCTTAGCTTAGCTTAGCTTCATCTTAGCTCAGGTTTGTCTTAGCTTCGCTTACCTTCATCGTAGCTTCGCTGAGCTTTAGCATAGCAGAGAACAGCATAACATAGCATAGTTTAGCATAGCATAGCGCAGCACATCATATCATAGCATCGCCCAGCATAACATATCCTAACGCAACATAGCGTAACATAGCGCAGCACAGCACAGCATAGCACAGCGCAGCATAGCATAGCATATCCTAGCATAGCATAGCAGCAAAGCAACAGCAGCGACAGCAAAGCAAAGTACGATAGGTGCAATTCCCTACTTAGGCTCTTTCTAGTGGGTTAGTTTAGCTCAGCTTCGCTCAGCTTAGCTTAGCCTGGCTTGGCTTAGCTTGGCGCTGCATTAGCACAGCATAGCATAGCATAGCATTGCCACGCATTGTATAGCATAGCATAGCATAGCATAGCATAGCGAAGCATAGCGTCTCATAGCAAAGCAGAGCATAGCACAGCTTAGCAAAGCATAACATATCATAGCTTAGCATAGCACAGCACAGCATGACATACCATAGCTCAGCATGGCATCGCATAGCATAGCACAGCGCAGCACAGCATAGCATAGCGCAGCACAGCATGGCATAGCATAGCAACTGATGCTGCTTTCCTAGAGGCTCTCACTTCTAGGTAGGGTCGCACTGGGGTAATTCCCTACCTAGGCTCTGCCTAGAAAGGGCTCCTACTCTCTGGGCTGAAAGGGGCCGGGCAGTGGAAAGCGCCCCGGGCGGTTCCCCCAGTATCCGCCCCGCGGTTCCCCCAGTTACGTCCCCTTAGCTAAGCGTTGTTTACCTCATCTTAGCTTAGCTTATTTCACCTTAGCTTAGCTTAGCTTCATCTTAGCTCAGGTTTATCTTAACTTACCTTCATCTTAACTTCGCTGAGCTTTAGCATCGCAGAGAACAGTATAGCATAGCATGGTTTAGCATAGCATAGCGCAGCACAGCACATCATAGAATAGCATAGCATAGCATAGCATATCGCAGCACAGCACAGCACAGCATAGCACAGCATAGTATAGCATAGCATAGCAGAGCATAGCAGCAAAGCACAGGCAAAGCGACAGCAGCGACAGCAAAGCAAAGCGCGATGGGTGTAATTCCCTACCTAGGCTCTGCCTAGAGAGTTAGCCTAGCTTAGCTTAGCTTGGTATAGCTTAGCATAGCGCAGCGCTTGATTAGCATAGCACATCATAGCATAACATACTTTGCTGTTCGCTGGGTTGTAAGCTCGTTATAACTCCAGCCAACCCTCTCGCAACCCAGTAGTAACGCTGCCAAAACATATCTAACTCGGCCGTAAGGTTTACTAACCTTCGGAGGAGTTAGTAACCAAATATGTAGAGGTATGAGGTTATGAAAGACTTACACCATCACCACCATATGCCAGTTATAACTGTATGTCACGTGTACACCGTACATACGAACACATAGTACCCACACACACATGTGCAACAATTGTATTTCGATCTGTATCACACCATACGCACACACGTGCATGCACACATTTAGGCTTTGCGATTGTCGCA